ACCCAGCCCCCGCCCCTCTTCCCTCTGCCATCGCCACACTGTTGTCTGTGTCCATGGGCTGTGCATATATGTCCTTTGGTTAATCCTCTCACCTTCTTTCACCCAGCCCCCCACCCTCTCCCCTCTGACAGCTGTCAGTCTGTTCCATGTATGCATGTCTCTGTCTCTATTTTGTTCATCAGTTTATTCTGTTCATTAGATTCACAGGATGGCTTTTAAGAAGTTCAGATAGAAATGACTTCCACTCTGAGAAAAGCACCATTAGAGACCTGCTGACTCATCAGTGTCAATATACACAGGGTTGTTGGATTTTTTGCCAGCTCATGCTGATGTGAAGCCAAAACAGCTGGTATTAATCAGGTTTAAGAATTTCAAAACTATGCGTTACCAAGAGAAATGTAGCTTCATACTATTCAAGGTATATAACAAAGGTGTTTCAGCCTTGAACTTGTAGGTTAGAATTACTAATAGAATTATTTACAGTTTGCATACCGTCAAAACAATGAATTCAGTACAAGCTAAACTTACAGTGCCCACAGAAGTGTTTGCTCCTTTCTCCATCTCATGAGCTTTTCTCATTTTTTCATTTTTCATTTGCGCTTGCTTGGACCGGAGACCCAGATGTTTAACTAGACTTTGCGGTTGACAGGGCCGATATAAACGTTGGCTACTTGACAGCGATGAGTACCTAGGAAATATTTATTACAGACAGAAAAATTGCACAAAGTAAAAGTTAAATGTACAGCAAGTTCCACCTTTTATTAAAGCATCCTCTAGCAAATATATCAGAGATCTCAGTACTTGCACCAATACTGTGTATATATTTTTAGGCCAAAGTTTTCATTTCTGCTTGAGTTACATAGCACAGCTCTTTATGTGTCATGAAGACACTGATGATAATAATGATAAAAATTCTAAAACGTGGTATCAGTTTTCCTGGAAGATACCATGTAGTAGCCATTTGAATCTTGTTTTTAAACCATATACTAACACAAAAAGATATTAAATTTCATAATGGCTGAAAAAAACCCAAACTTCTAAAATCAGTGTTGGGCTCAGACATAGTTGGTACCATGCCCATAGGATAGTCCCCTTGGCCTTACCACTGCAGGGCACATAGGCCCAACTTCCAACTGCTGGCACTGACCTCACTCAGCCTGAGAGCTTTCTTGTGAAAACAAGAACCCATGTGCAGGGAAACTGCCAGAGAAGTAATACCTCTTCTCCTAAGCAACCCTTAACCAGTGACCAATGGGTGCTGGTGTGCAAATATCCCAACTCCTTTGCCCCCTGTGGGATAACTTGAGTTGCATGCTCTGTACTGGCTCAGGCATTCCCAGGAGAGATTCAGCTCCAGTTACCTACAGTGGGAACCTGCTTGCTAACACACACTGTTTTGGCTGCCTGCCCTTCCCTGTTTCACTTCTCTACCCCGTCTTATCAGTGGTTCCTGGGATCACCTCCCAAGTAAACTACTCATATTCAAATCCTTGTCTCATGGTTTGCTTCTGGGAGATCCCAAACTAAGACGACATTCAAAGGAGCCTTTAGGAAAGTCCTTCCCCCCCTTCAATTGATTTAGAACTTGGCTATTTATTTGGCTCTATAAGGCAACTCATTCTTGGATAATCAGTAGCATGAGTCCAAATAGCAAGGAGTCTAGGGTTATATATGGTGGCAGAGAAAATGACATCATTTATTTGACCTTGGTGGTAATAGGGTTAAGTTCTATATTCAGTGTTTATATGGATGAGTGAGAGAAAATCTATTTCATGATGACAGACTGCACTCTACACCAGGCCATCTGTCTGGCAAACATATAGTCTTGCTCATAAAAATAAATGGGCTAAATTATGTTATTGGGTCAGCAACACTCATCTCTACTCCTGAAAAAACAACAACAACCCTGTGTGTTTGTGTGACAACAGGTCACCAGTGTCTTCTTCAGGTACTAATGGAGTATTTTTCATTTCAAATATGACAGTGTGAAAATGTACTACCAATCGGTCCTCTTTAGTCTCCTTATCTCTTTTTCTTAAGAAAGCAAGCTTAATCTGTAAACAAGACGGGCTAGGTGAGACTCGGTAATGGGAAGAAAAAAGAAATATAATTGGAGCAGGCATATTCTGTTCATGTTATTTCAGATCATAATACAGTCTGTTTTGCTGCAACACACGTTTCTATAATGTGAATTGGCTCACATGCTATTGGTAAAGAAGGGGATAATGCCACTGTAATTTATTTGCAATTTATCCTTGGCAAGGCGAGCCAGAATAGCAACAGCAGAATCATAACCTTCAGGAGAAAGGAAAAAGTCCTTAGCTCTATGCAGCATGGGCAATGGGAGCCCTCTGGCTGTGTTTATAAAAACAACAGTTAGCACCTGCACCTAGGGCTCTCTTCCCAGAGAGGCACCCCACCCCCACAGCCCACCCTTACTGTCCTCCATCCTGCTCCCCACCTTGGGTGGCTCTTGCTTCTTGGCAAGTCTCACTGCCTCTCATATCCACTTAAGAGGCAACCACTGCCCGGCCGGTGTTGCTCAACGGCTGAGCATCACCCTAGGATCCAGGAGATAGTGGTTTGATTCCCGGTGAGGGCACATGCCCGGGTTGTGGGCTCGATCCCCAGTGGGGGGTGCAGGAGGCAGCCGATCAATGACTCTCTCATCATTGATGTTTCTGTCTCTCTCTCTCTCTCCCTGAAATCAATAAAGATATATTTAAAAAAAAAAAAGGCAACCACTTCCATCTGCACTATCTCAGTGCCCACTACTTGTTCTAATTAAAGAGTTGCCAGCATCCCTACCCTATTGTACATTTTTTACATATGCCGTGGTGCCTCCAGCCATCCTGAACTGCCTGTCCGCTGGTACAAGTTATCTCCCCCAGGCAGCAATGGTCCTTTTTGCTGCTCTGTTTACAAAGTTGCATAAGTTTTGAGCAGTCTGCCTCACTCCTATTTTTCCCATGTGCCCTATTATTATCTTCCGCGAGCTATTTGGCAGAATGGGAACATTTTCAGAAATGTGCCTTGTATTGTAGCCTCAGTGAGGGACCACTTTTACCTAACTTCAGAAACAATCCGCAGCTGGTTCTGACGCATCTCTTCTGTTCGCGGTCTCTGTAACAGATACTTCATTTCTTTCTTCAGACGGTTTGAGATTACTCCAGACTCTGCATAATCAACTATGTCATACATTATCATTGTCCTGGGAATGTTTCTGAGGCTTAATCTTCTCCAACAGTTATTTCTTCCACCAGAAGATGCAGGGGTCTTATCAAGAAGACTGGAATACTGCAGGGTCAGACAAAAGTAGGTTTACAGTTGTGAGTAGGTGAAACACAGTTTATTCTTGTATTATTATTTCTTTTATAAAAAATATTTTAAAAATTGTTTTTTAGAGAGAGAGGAAGGGAGAGGGATAGAGAGATAGAAACATCGATGAGGAACATCATCCATCAGTTGCCTCCTGCATGTCCCCGACTGGGGATCTAGCCCGCAACCTGGGCATGTGCTCTGACCAGAAATCGAACCATGACCTCCTGGTTCAGAGGTCAATGCTCAACCACTGAGCCACCCAAGCTGGGCTATTATTTCTTAATTATTGTATTATTTTCCATATGAACAAGTGTAAACCAACTTTTGCCCCACCCTGCATATGGAAAAAAAACAATTAAGAATGATTGGTTGTGGGTGCTCTAGAATGGTTTTAGACACATTTCCCAAGGTTCCACTCAAATGTCACTTCATTCAAAAAGCATTCCTTGCCTGGCTGACATGGCTCAGCACTTGATCGTAGACCTAGGATCCAGGAGATCGAGGTTCAATTCCTGGTCAGGGCACATGCCAGGGTTGAGGGCTCGATCCCCAGTCAGGGGTGTGCAGGAGGCAGCCGATGAATGACTCTCTCATCATTGATGTTTCTCTCTCTCCCCCTCTCCCTTCTTCTCTCTGAAATCAGTAAAAAAAAAAATATATATATATATATATATTTTTTTAAAGAGCATCTCTGAATTTTATTGGCATCTCTCTTCTATGACTCTCATTACTGACTACTTGATGTTTTAGCTGTCTGTGTACATCTTAGCTCCTCTCTGGGAAGGCAGAATCCCTGTCACACGGCACCACACCCACTACATATTTCTTTAATGCATAAACATTTTAATGGCAAATATAACTCAGAGAAATTAAACGCAGGATGAGCCTAAAAACTGGTAATAGCTATGTGATCTGCATACCTGGTAGTGCTCCTTCATGACATGCTTGGGTTGAGATGACATTTGCCTAAGCCTTTTTAGAAATAATGAGCTCATCTCTGGTGCTAAGCGGTAAATTTCACTATTTTCATTTGAAATATTTATAGAAATCCCCCTTTTCTTTTAAAAATATTTAAAACATAAGATTAGGAATTTTAAAAGTGCAAATATGTATAATCAATTGAACCTCATACATGGTCACCTAAGAGAGAGGAATAAAGAAGAGGGATCTATGATGCTGGGAAATGGAATAGCAGCTAGGCAGTCAGGGTGTGCACACGCACGCACACACGTGCAGATAGTTCTCCCTTTGTGCTATTTAGGCATGCATGAATTTCAATTACCACTATTTAGTTGAATAAGCCCAGTCCTCCAACAACATGGTTCAAATTTCAGTTACCACAGTGTAATCGAGCAACTGCATAAAGGAAAACTCTGCTGCTAGCTCCTCAGTCCACAGATCGCTACATAAATAACAGATGTGGATGGTGATTAGTGACCAATCACGTCCCTTCTTTCCAAGTGTGTCAATGACTGGTTACTGGGGATCTGTTATTTACTTCACACACAGACAGCAAAGTATGTAGCTGTGTTGCCTCTCTGTCTCCCAGTGACAAGAAAAATAACAATCAAAAGAGGGAAAAGCCAAAAAAGAAACAAAAAGTGGTAATGCTGGAAGTGAAATTCAAATAGAATGTAAATGGAGTTGCAGAAGAAACAGGTGACTGCGGGGATGTTGATGCTGCCACCATTCAAGGGACTGCACACAGGCAGCCCGAAGAGCCTGGTGACTGACAGTGAACTTACCAACATAAATGAGGAAAGTGGCTGGAACAAAAAGGGTCAAGCTGCCCCGGAGGAAGCAACTCCGGCAAAAAAGACACTTCACAGTAAAAGGACTCTGAGGTATATCATAGCACTTAAAGTCCAAAGGCTAAGCCCTGGCCGGGTGGCTCAGCTGGGCAGCGCATCATCCCCACGCGCCAGGGTTGCCGGTTGAATCCGAGGTCAGGGCACATACAAGCAGCAACCAATGAATGCATAAACGAGCGGCCCGACAAATCGATGTTTCTGTCTCTCTCTCCCTTCCTCTCTCTCTCAAATCAATTAAAAAATTTTAAAGTCCAAAGGATAAAATGTTGCTGGGTGATCCAAACTTAAAAAAGAAGTATGACAACTTGCCAAGGCACAGAGAAGATGCTCACTGGTATTGTAAGTTGTATAAGAACAGAAGACAAGCACTTTAAACTACTCTCAACTGGCTTTTAGTAGCTTTATTGAGATTTGCATCCCTTACAATTCGCCTATTTAAAGTGTATAGTTCAATGGTTTTCAGTATGTTCACAGTTAATAAGTTTAAGTTTTTTACAAAGAAATGGAACACTTTACTTCTCAATGTTTTATAGTGTACTAACTAAATCTTTTGGGTTTTATTTTTTTCATTTTCCTATATATGTACAACAGATAGCAAGAGAGCTTCTAATGCTTTGATGAGATTTTTTTGAAGGCATGGAACAATCACAATTTTCCCCATTGATTATAACATTTGCTTTGCATGGTTTCAGCGTGCGTGGTCATTTTTATGGTCCTGCACTACTGTGTACAGTGAGGACTGCCTGTATATTTTATTTCCCTAGAGTGGACTAGTCAGATGGGTAAACATCTCAGCACTGCTCTGTACTTATTAGCTATGTGACCTTGGGCAACTTTTAAAAATCTCATTAAACTCAATTTTTCTCACCTGTTAATGGGTCATATAATTTATAAACTTGAAGATTAAAGGAGATAATATGCATATAAAGAGCTAAAATCTGTGCTGTCCATAAAGGGCTCAATAAGCATCAGTAATCACCATCTCTCTCTCTTCCAGTATGTCAACCTGAGGACTTCTTTTTATGTCACTAATCTTTGGCATAGTCACAATCTGTAAGTATGAGCCCCATGTCCTTGGCAAAGATAGTTGGCACCCCCAAGCTCGACTTATTTCCTGGTCCAATGCCCTAATCTTCTAGGTTAATGCTTTAGAATAAAGAAAAAAGAATTGGGAGTCTCTAAGCACTTTATTAATTTCATGTTTCACACTGAAGCAGATGAGTGAACAGTTAAGGCCATGTATTGTTATTATGACCTAGAATTTTGGGATCCCTTGTTCTTTGGAATGTGTGAAATGGGGTAATAATAGTACCTATCTCTTAGGGTTGTTATGAGGATAAAAGGAGTTGATATTACAGTCATGCACCACATAATGATGTTTTGGTCAACAACAGACCACATATATGATGGTGGTCCCATAAGATTATAACAGAGCTGAAAAACTCCTTTCACCTAGTGACACTGTAGCCACTATATCATCATAGCACAATGCATTGCTCATGTGTTTGTGGTGATGCTGCTGTAAACAAACTTACCGCACTGCCAGTTGTATGAAAGTACAACACATAAAATTGTAGCAGCAAGCTACACCATCTAGGTTTGTGTAAGCGCACTCTATGATGTTTGCACAATGCCCAAATCACCTAATGATGCATTTCTCAGAATGTATCCCTGTTGCTAAGTGGCGCATCACTGTACATTAGCATTTGCTATGATTATTATTAAGGTATCGAGTTTAAGTTCCCTGATTCAGCACTGCTGTCCTATCAGTTATGCAAACCAGAAAGCTAGGTGCCATGTTGGTTACCTTCCTTTAGCTTACCGCCCTGTNGAGAGAGAGGGAGAGGGAGAGGGAGAGAGAGAGAGAGAGAGAGAGAGAGACTGATTGATTGATGAAGGGGAAACATCAACATCGACTGGCTGCCTCCTGCACACCGCAATCTGGAAATGTGCCCTGACAGGGAATCACACTGGCAACCTTTTGACGCATGGGATGATACCCAACCAACTGAGCCACACTGGGCAGGGCTATGCTGTGTATATTTTACCACAATAAAAAAGGTATTATTCTTGGGGGACAGGGTCAGAAGGCTTTTTGTTATTGTTGTTTGTTTTCAATATCTAAATCTAAATTCCTTACTTTCATGTAATCTTGCACGGTGACAATATCTATTTCATCAGTTATTTTGAACTTCTGGGAAAGACGTTCATCTTCCATAATTTGTTCATAAAATTTCTTTCTCCCCATTATTTTGAAAGCATCAGTTGAGGCCTATAAAGAAAACAGAAAATAGACTTTTAAAATAGTAGTATAATAGCAATAATTATCAGCATACACTTTACATATTTTTCTGAGAAATACATCAAATATTCTTTTTTTAATTTTTTTTTTATCCTGAATCCTGCGGTTTTGACTATTTCACTGATCCAAATATTCTTCCTTTCTTCTAGTAGCTTGCTATTCAATATGTGAACTGTATTTACAAAGAAAATATTATATAGGGATTTAGAAAACCACTTAAAATTTGTTTCCATAACCATATCTACAGTTTATTATTATTTCTTTTTTTTTAAAATATATCTTTATTGATTTCAGAGAGAGGAAAGGAGAGGGAGAGACAGAAACATCAATGATGAGAGAGTCATTGATTGAGCCCGCAACCCGGGTATGTGCCCTGACCGGGAATTGAACCCCGATTGCCTGGATCCTAGGTCAATGCTCAACCGCTGAGCCACGCCTGGCCGGGCTATTATTATTATTTCTTAATACTCACCCAAGGATACTTTTTCTATTGCTTTTCAGAGAGAGTGGAAGGGAGAGAGAGAAACATCAATGTGAGAGAAACACTGCTTGGTTGCCTCCCGCATGTGCCCCAACCAGGGCCAGGGATTGAGCCTGAAACCGAGCTACATGCCGTTGGCTGGAATAGAACCCAGCACCCTTCTGTCCTCAGGCCAACACTCTAACCACTGAGAAAAACCAGCTGGGGGAGTCTACATAGTTTTAAAATGTAGCTAGAGGAGTAGCTGAGTCTACAATCCTTGGAGGACCAGCTTTTAAATTTTTAATAATTCTCATCCGAGGATGTTATTACAGATTTTAGAGAGAGAGGAAGGGAGAGAGAAAGAAATATCGATGTAAGAGAGAAACATCTATTGGTTGCCTCCCCTACCTGCCCTGACTGGGGATCGAACCCACAACCTAGGTGTTTGCCCTGACTGGGAATCGAACCTGTGAACTTCCTGTGTTCGGGAGGTTGCTCCAACCAACTGAGTTACCTGGCCAGGGCGAGGACCAGTTTTTAAAAGATGTTTTTTACCCCCTGAAAAATATTCTTTTCCCTTAAAAAACCAAACAAACCGATAATGCCATTTGTGCTGTTCATGCAGAGAAAATTTATCTGGTTATTAAATAGGTTGGCCTACGAATTGCAATAAAAGGTGTTACTGGGCCAACTCTCTTTTATGTGTTAGTTAATATATGGCCCCCAAATGGAGACATGTTCGTTTCAGATTGCTCAGACCTCCCTCTTCTTCAGACTTCATTCTCAGTAGCCAAAGATTGGCAAACAAAAGGTTTTTTACATTTGGTACTCAAGGAAAGGACGTGAGAGGGCAAAGATGGAAAAATCACAGAACATGCTGAGGCTCAAATCCTGCCTGGCCCTATCTGTGCCAAACTCTTCCATGCACATCTCTCCTTGGGCTAAGAGCTATACACGGACTGTGAGTAGAGCCTTAAGGACTCCCCACCCTCCTTCCCACTCCCTCTAAGTATGTGCTGCCTCTTCTAGCACCTATCTGTACTACGTGTCTGTGCTTCTGGCCACAAAGGGTATGCTTATGGGAAGGGAGACTGGCGTAGATGAAAATTCAAATACCTTTTCATTCCAGATCAGTCTCTCTTTTCCTGTGTATCTCACAATGTGATGTCGGTGCACGTACGGGAACTCTTGTGTTATATGTTGCTGATACAAGGCCACAGAGGAGTCATTGAGACAGGACTGAAACTCAGAATCTGTTCTTTTTACTCGCCACACAATACAACAGCAAGCCTTGATGTATTTTCTATTTCAATTCTCACTTTTGTTATCTAGAATATTCCTTTTTTATTTTTTAAGTTTCAAAGCTTACAACACAGACACATATGAAAAATAAAATACAGGGTGGGGCAAAAGTAGGCTTACAGTTGTGAGTATGCGAAACACAGTTTATTCTTGTATTGTTATTTATTAATTATTGTATTCTTTTCCATACGAACTGTAAACCTACTTTTGCCCTACCCTGTATTCAAATGGTTGTAGTTTTATTTCTAATGCACTAAAGGGAGAGATAGTTTACTGAAAATGTGATGGAACTGCCCTTTAGGCAGACCGTTTTGGTTTTCCATTGTATTAGCTTCTCTCTGCACTATGCAGCTAAACTAAAGGCAGCATTGGCACATATCTCCATTATGCTTTCCTGCAATTAATTTTCTGTGGGTTCTAATGAACGATTCCCACAGTGCCACTAAAGGTAAAAGCACATAGACACTGAACAGGTCTGGAAAACCATTTAACTTCTGCTTCGAGCATTTCTTTAGATATAATTATATTTGACTTTAGAACAAGTGACTTAAAAAGACATTTCTTGTTAGTTCCTCCCTACTGTACTCCACTCAGCCCCCCCCCCAGTCTCCCGAAGCCTAGTTTATTTGTACGGTGCCTCGGCTGTGTGGCTCAGCTGTGTCAGGCCCAGCCCAGTCTCTCAGCCAGAAAATCCCTACACCTGGCAGCACGGGGCAGGCTTGCTGCCGCGGGTGACAGGGGTTTGAAGAAAGTTTGCCCTCCAGTGGCCAAGATGTTCTTTCCCATACATCTACTACGTGTGGCTGGTTCAGGAAAGTGCTTCTGGATAGGAAGGGCTGGAAAGAAGAGTGTAGCCCCAAAAGAAAGGGAAGGGTGAGTACTAAGCAAGGATTCCAGGATAGCTGCCAGTCAGACTAGGGCTCAAGAGGCAGGTTCCATTCTTAGTGGGCGACTCAAAGGGTCAGAGGGGGCATCTCTAAATTTGACACCTCCCCTGATACCCGGCCTCAATGTGGCCCAGAAGCCCCCCCAGCCCTGTGGCTCCTTGCTGGCCTAGATCCATAATTGGGCTTATCAAGTTACTCTAACATCTCAAGTCTCTTCCCCGCCCGGCTGGGAATTCTCCCTCACGGAGGCAGTGATAGCTAGTACCTCTGCACGAGAAGTTTCTTGGTTTGAAACAGTTCAATTATACACAGGCTCAGAATTAATAAAACCACCATAAGCGCCTCAAAATGTGCAGAGTACATGGAGAAGTGTCCGAGTCTCAGTTGTGCCCTGACAAGCCTCTCCGAGTTTCAGCTTCCTCACAGGAAAACGGGAACATGTTATCAGGGGCCATATGAGAGTGCACTCAGTGGGCTTCCTGACTCAGCAGTGGTTAAGGGCATGGGCTCTGGAGTCAGGCTCACTGGGTCTTGATGTCACTTCCTTCACTTCCTAGTCATGAGACATTAGGCAAGTTACTTAATCTCTTTAAATTTTTTAAAAATATGTTTTTATTGATTTTTAGAGAGAGGGAGAGAGAGATAGAAACACCTATGAGAGAGAAACATCACTGATCGGCTGCCTCCTGCATGCCCCCCGTGGGGGACCAAGCCCGCAACTAGGCATGTGGCCACCGGCCATCGAACCGGTGACCTCTTGATTCATGGGTGGATGCTCAACCACTGAACCACACTGGCTGGACTAATACTTAGTCTCTTTAAAATGAAGATAATAACAGGATACATTCTAGAGTTTATGAGAATTAAAGAGTAATGCACATAAAATGTTTAACATCATACTTGATGGTGTTCAATAAGGGCAGCTATTACTAATTTTTTCCTTTTTACATAAATGCATGATCCTCAAAAAGAACAGGATCTTCAATTTAAAATAACAGTTACTGAATGTTAATGTTTAAAAATTGTCAGGCCCTAGCTGGTTTGGCTCAGTGGTTAGAAAACTGGCCTGTGGAATGAAGGGTTTCGGGTTCGATTCTGGTCAAGGGCACAGACCTTGGTTGCGGGCTCCATCCCCGGCCCCAGCCGGGGCTCGTGCAGGAGGCAACCAATCAAGGTGTCTCTCTCACATCGATGTTTCTCTCTCTCTCTC